GTTCACTGACTACCAACAGGAATTAGAAAACTGTAGGATGGAAAAATAAACACGTAAGTAAGTACTGCTATATGTTTTCTTCTCTAGGAGCATTTAGGACAAGATTGCCAAACCTCATTAGCTGTGCAAACACTGTACAAAAGATAGCCACCTACCTGCAGATGTTAATTTGTAAGTCATTACTTCCTACTCTGAAAATAAAACGTAATATGAAGTAGTTTGAAACAATGTTAAATAGAAAAGAGGCCTACTTTGCTTCAATTATAAAAAGCATCAGTAAAATGTGAGAGCATTCCACTGGCATAAGGTCTTACTACCCAAGGAATCAGTGACCAAAGAATGTGGAACTTGAGGAGGAAGTCCTGATGAGGAGAAAGCCTCCAGAAGGAAGCCACACTGCCCAATTCTCATAGTGATCCTTGAACTTGGCATACTTTTGCTGACTTCAAGGTCCCACTTAAAACCACGAGAACTGATGAAAGACTTCATCTGTTGCAAACTTCATAGAGACTGACTTTAGAGCTTGAGTTCAGCCAAATTAAATGGCTACTCAACAAAAATGTCTTCTGAAGAACAAGATCTACAGTTTCTATCATGTTCAGGATATAGTCCAAGTGTAATGCAAACATGTTCAAAGAAGAGGCAATCACAGAGGTAGACAGAGAGTTCATGAACAAAAACCAAACTGCATGGGAAATACCTCAAAGAATAAACAACTGAGATCTCATCGTATTGCAAAGGTTTTGTACATAAAAAGTCATCAACAGAATAAAAACTCACAAATTGGAAAAATTTTAGCCAACTGTCCCTCAGTCAAAGGACATCTATCTAGAACACAAAGCATGAAAAAAAAAATCAAGCCCCCCAAATTCAAAGACCCAATAAAAAAATGGGCATCTTGGATGAATAAACAGCTCACATGAAATACAAATGGTAAATAAATATATGAAAATGTACACTGAGATTCCACCTCACCCCATAAAGAACGGCTATCAAGAAGTCAGCCAATAACAAGTTGCTAGAGGTTGAGGGGAAATAGAAACTCCTCTTCACCATGGTAGGAGTGCAGACTGGTACAACCACTATGGAAATCAATGTGGAAATTCCTCAACTGGGATTAGAGGCTCCATTTGGCATAGCTATTCCCCTCCTGGGTATTTTCCCAGAAAAACTGAAAACATCATACCCCAATGATATGTGTGCATCCATGTTTATAGCTGCACAATTTGTCATAGCTAAATCTTACAAATAACCCAAATGTCCATCAACTGAGGAATGGATAAAAAAGATGTGGTATTTTTATACAATGAAATATCACTCAACTATAAAGAATGATAAACTTTAGGCTTTTATAAATGGATGAAAGCAGACTATACTCAAGTGAAATAAATCAGACCTGCATCTGTAAACATCATATTATCTTCCTAGTGTAAGAACCTTCAAGAGTAAATAGTATCTGAAAGGTACAACAGATATTGTGGCAAGAAACTGCTTAAAAGGAAAGAACAACTGGGATGAGGGAAAGGAGAAGGGAAAAAATATACATGCACGAGATAGTGAAGATAATTGTCTTACCAGTTCGTTGGTTTATTGAAAGGGACAGTTAATGCTTCAATTTTTTGGACCCATTTTACATGCCTGAACAACTACTTTGAGGACAATACTTAATTAGCCACTGTTGAATTCCTGTCTTGTTTTTTGGAATTCTGTATTGTTTCTAATGTTTTTATCTGTTGTTTTTAACAAAAAAAGACAATCAGTGAAAAGCAACCACAAATTAAACCAGATGATCCTGTAGAAATCTAGTTCAGTACAAAAATACAATGTCTATAATTATTTTTAAATTGCTGTATGTGTAACAGCAGAGGTGATAGTGTGTCAGCGAACAAGATGGAATGACTGACATGACTTAATCTAAAAATTTGAGAATTTTTCTTTTGGGTTAGCCCTTTAATATCATATTACTAAGCCAGAGGCATGACTGTCTGGATTCCAGAAATTCTTTTTTTTTTTTTTTTTTTTTTTGCGGAACTAGGGATAGAACTCAGGCCCTTGCGCTTGCCAGGGAAGCGCTTATTCCACTGAGCCATCTCCCTGGCCCTCCCAGTAATTCTTTAAACAAGAATTTCTATATTCTTATGTAAGATGGAAAAATATAGACTACATGACAATTTTTAGATGTTTTTTCTTTTCAGTGGAGATCAAACCCTGAGCCTCATGTGCTTGGCAAGAAGTGAGCTACATCCTTCACCAAAGATGCATTCATTCTTTTTTTTTTTGTTTCTGAAGTGACTTCCATTTATTTTGATACATCTTTTCCCCATGATGATTTACAAGAACTTCAAGCCAATATAAATATTTTATAAATATTTGAATTTTTGGGTATACATCTGCGCAATACCTCAGTAGTATCTTTCAGCAAGAAAATACTGAAGAGTAAAGGCTAGACACAATTACTAGGTACAGTGAAAATCTGCTGCAAATATTTCTGAGGTAAGAAGGCAACACATACCTATTCAACTAAGAAAACCACTCATAAAACACAGGATGATTTTATTTTTACATAGGACCTAGAACACTTAAGCTGCCAGTTAGATACTGAATGGCAGAGCAACATCCCCAGTTTATGCCATGAATTCATAAGGATAAGGTTCCAAAAGCTCAAGTTCCTTTCCATTGGTCCTTACAAAGTGTGCTTCTCTGGGAAGGGCAGGCTGGCGTTTCAGTTGAACCCAGGTACCTTTCTCTTTGGCTCCCTTCTTTTTCTGATCATTTTCCTTTATTTATTTATTTTCCCATAATTTTATTGAGAAGTGATTATTTTCCTTGACACGTTTCAGGAAGCTATCATGATTTTTTGAGTGTTTAATATGCTCGATATGCACATTAATCCTCTTGGCAAGTATCTTGTCCTTCACTTGCTTGTTTACAATGTCAACAACATGCTGGGTAACATTGTAGACTCTTCCTGTTTTGCTATGGTAACATTTGTGAGGCATACCTTTTTGCACAGTACCCATTCCCTTGATGTCTACAGTATCACCCTTTTTGTAGATTCGCATGTATGTAGCCAAAGGAACAACCCCATGTTTTCTAAAAGGCCTGGAAAACATATACCGGGTTCCCCTCTTTTCCTTTGGTTAGTCATTTTGGCAAATTACTGGAAGATGGTGGTTCCGGCCAAAAGTGATGCATTCATTCTTAAGCTCTGTCATTCCTCCTGACTTACTTCAGTTCTTAGACTGTATTGGTATAACTGTCACAGGAGAAACCAGAAGAACACTATCAACTATCTGTATTTTCCTCATTGTTTTATAAACTCATGAAAGAGGAAATGCTTTCCTTTAATCTTTTCTAGTCAAGACCTAGACCTTTTCTAGTCTTGTTCATTGAAATAAGGGCAGAAAATATAATATGAAGGTAAAGTAAGGAACATACTATCATCAGAGGTGAAGGCAGACAGTTTATTCCAGAAAAAAACCAGTCAGTGAGCAGATGGTCCCTGGTACCAAGCTAACAACTGGGATCAAGATTTAGTCCCCCAAAGGCATAGTAAATCAAAGTATAGTTCTTATCACTTGCTTCAAAATTACCTAGAGTACTTATTAAAATGCAAAACTTAAACCTAACACTCGACATACTAAGCTTGAATCTTTTGAGTATACCTTAGAAATCTATATTGGAAATCCACAGGAGCCCTAAGTGATTCTTATGGATATAATGTGAATGATTTTTTTTAAAGGAATGAGTTGACAAAAGCAGACAACAGATGAAGTTCTTAGACAGTTTTCATACCCTTGAAACTACTGGCACATTGGGCTGGACAATTCCATATTGTGAAGGGCTGTCCTGTGCAATGGTAGGCTGTTTAGCAACATCCCCATCCTCTTCCTATTGTCTCTTAAATGTTTCAAATAAAAATGCATCCAGACATTGTGGTATGTCCCTTAAAGACAGCATCTGATTAAGACCTACTGCTTTGGGGGATTCCAATAGTAAGCATAGTCCCAATCCAAAGATCAGAATCAGCAGGAAAAGGCACCATGGGAATGTCCAACCATTAGAATAGAAAGTTAAGTTATAGCTAGATCTCCAGTAAGAACTGACGCATAAAATGGACACTAGTACTTAGCTACCTTGCTTGTAGAGGAGCCATTTAACTCTACATTTGGTGACAGATGGAATATAGAGTAGCACTACATGGGATTTGAAAGGTTAGGCCAGGTCTAACTCCTTGTGCATTAGATTCAACATGGTCTTTTGAAAACAGACACCAACTTCATATGGTTTACACTCTGCCAACTTCATTGTTGTATCAGAATTCCCCATGGAATCCAGGCATTTTACATAAAATCTGGATTTGGAACATTCACTGGAATTAAGATGACATTTACAATACTGTGTTCAGAATTTAGAAATACAGACCTTGGCAACACTTAAGTGTCTGAACCTCTTTAGTAGCTCTCATTCCATTGTACAAGTCAGGATGAAAACATTACATACATATATCCATTGTGGCTAAACAGTCCTAATTTAGGGATTTCTGAGTGATACTCTCCGCCCCTCTATTCTAAGCCTATGTGCCCTTTGGTAGTAATACTACTTTCTATCTTATTGCCTAAAAGATGATTTCTTAGTTTGCCTAAATACCTGTTCTGATATTTGAAGGGCCAGGTGGTAGAACTCAATGACTAAGCACTCACTTAGCATGTGCAAGGCCCTGGGTTTTATCCTGAGACTACAAAGAAAAACTGAGGACCACCACTGAAAGCCTAACTTGTTGATTAGACAGTTTTAAACTTCATTCTATCAGTATTGCGTATCCATCATATTAAGCATACAGACAAGAAATCAATACAACATCCACAAGTAGCATGGGAAACAAATTTCTTAGAGTAGCACTTAACATGTTATAAGAAATCAAGAAAAGAATTCTGTAGTACTTCACATGTGAATTGTAAGTTTCATTTCCATATGAAATACTTCCTTTAACTAAAAAGTAAACTTTTGAAAAATCTTAAATTTTATTAATTTTGCTGACACTAGATTTTTATTAAGTAATAATTTCACAACAGCCCAAGAATTGTACAAAGTACTACCACTGAATATTTTATTCAGAAAAAGCAAAATGAGTAGGCAGAAACAAAAATCCTGGTCACTTGCAGTATCTATCAGCTTTCAATTTGGCTCTCCTGTTTAAGACAAAAAGTATAAGTGTGAGACAACATATATAGAGTCAAATGCTACTAAGTACAGCTCCTGCTTAGAAATTGTATGTTCAGTTTTTTGCTATATTACAACACATTTTTACTATTCAACTTTCCTTTTATACAAAATTGATTGCAATCCTATGAAATCTTTTTTTCCTAAAATTAACAAATGTTGCATAAGGACTTTCAATTCACAACACAATTTAAAATTAATTACTTGTGAATTTAAGCCTGCCGTAAATTGCTAGTGGGTAGAAATGCTGTTTTTACAATGCTAAAGTGACAGGACAAACAGCCTATTCTATTTTAGAGTTCATGTCCCGAATGTATTTTATATCCACTTTTTTATTTCTCATTAGATAATAACACTCACATACTCAGCTCAAAAGAATTCTTACATTTACTGGTTTCTGTTAAGAACACAATCAACTAATTAACAGAAAACTATGATTAAGTATGTCTTTATGTGATAATGAAAAAAGAAAGGTTAAGAATAATTTTGCAACACAGGACATGAACGAGTAGAAGACATTACCAAATCCTCTTTCAATCTTGCAATTTATACATGTAAGCACACAGCTAAGCCTCTGTCGATTTTTATGTTGTTAACCTAAGACTCATGATTGTAAACTTTTTAGGGCTTTCAATGATACCAACAGCCCACTTTGGCAGGCATGCCGTAGGTTTGTCACCACTGACCTAAGACATTATTTAAAGAGAAATATAAATAAATATTAGCCAGGCATGGTGACAGATGCCTGTAATCCCAGCATTCAGGAGGCTGAGGCAGGAGGATTGCTGTGAGTTCTAAACCAGCCTGGGTTGCAAAATGAATTCAAGGCTGGCCTGAACTGCATAGCAAGACCCTGTCTAAAAAGACCAAAATCAAAACAAAAAAAAAAAAAAGCTAATAATAAATAATAATGTGCTACACAAATTTCTAACTCTGGGTCCAACAGTTACAAGTTCGTAAAATTCTTTCAATCAAAACTAATTTCTTACAATAAAGTGTGTAAGTAGTTTAGACACTATTGATTTTAAATATTCTTTGTTGCCAATCTTTTCCCAGATTTATGATGTCCACTCCTAGTAATTTTAAAAACAAAAATTTTGAAAATTATAGTATGTTAAAAAGAACACGGGTTTATCTGTGCTATTTCTTGGCTGCCTGAAACAGTGGGAAAACTGTAAATCTTTATTTACCTGTCCAGAAGTGTCTCATGTAAAAATCCATCTTTCCGAGCCTTTTTAAGAATTTTACTGTCTTCTTTACTGATTTTAAGTTTATGGTCTTGGAAACTCTGAAATTTTTTTCTGTAAAGAAAAGTATCTTTGTTGAAAGAAATCTTAAACTTTGATTATAAATATATCCTGATTAATATAAAAGAATCACTACAAGTCCAATCTAGTAGTGGGACCCTGAATGCCCTGTAGACCCTTCCCTAAAACACACACACACAAAAGATTTTATGCCCCCCACTTAAAAAAAAAATCTAATTGTATTTCTTTCTTTCTTTTTTTTCTTTTAAGTACTGGGGATTGAACTCAGGACCTTAGGCTTGCCAGGCAAGCATATATTCTACTGAGCTATCTCCCCAGGCTGTCTTTTTTTTTTTTTTAAGGGCATAATCAATCAATTTTTTTTTTTTTTTACTTTATTTATTTTTATTTATTTAGTGTGTGTGTGGCCAGTTCAGCCCACCAGGGGGCGGGGCTGGCTGGCATGTGGTGCTGGGGACCGAACCGCAGTCCCTGTGCTTTTGCTTTGCTTAGCTTGTTCTAAGTAGGTGCCTTAGACCACTGAGCCATCTCACCAGCCCCCAGGCTGTATTTCTTTAATAACAACTTTTCAACTACAAAGATGGTATTTTGGATTTGCTATCAAGAAGAGGACATTGTTTGGATAGCTCTACAAAGCTCTCTTTTACTGGGCAACATGAGTCACAATCTTATGTTCTGAACACAGATGGAACCTGTACAGCATTATCATAACTCTCTTAAAGATCAGGGAGACAAGTGTGGTGTAAAAGTCTATAATCCTAGCACTTTGGGAGGTTGAGGCAGGAGTATGGCAAGTTTGGGCAAATTAGCAAGGTCTTGTCTAAAAATAAAAAAATAAAAGTTGCTGTGATGTAACTCAGTGTGAAGGATATGGCTTCAATCCCCACTCTTAAAAAAAGGAACAGGAAAAACTGAGTAATCAAGTGATTTCAGCTTTGTGAACCTGCAGGGTAACAGGAAAACAGTAGTATTTAGAAAAGTATTCTCCTGAACGCTGTGTCCTAGAATCTACAATATCTTCTTGTACTTTAGGTATTTTAGTGTAAAAATGCCTTAAGTGCTTCACTATCAGATCTGTGAGTTTATGAGGAAAATACATACACGTAATTGATTTCACATTGTTTTACATTCCCTTTATCTTCTTCTGGGATGTCATCTTTTTTCTTGGTTTCCCTTTCAGCACAGGATCTAATCTGGAAATTGGAAACGAGGACACAACAGGTGATACATTTATCTTCTTTTTCTACTTTCTTATTCTGTATATGTGTTTGACATTTCATATATATAAGTAAGTAACTGCTATTATATGGTTCCCTAAGACAGCCCTTGTGCCAGAAACATTACAGAAAAAGTTATTTGAAAAATAATTTATAAATCTTTTCCTACTGAGCAATTAAGCAATACTTTACCTAGTTTAATTTTGGCTTCAAAGTAAATATACTAATATCAAAATCTTCCCTGGTAATATGTTAATTTCATTAGATGGAGTTTAAGACAGTAGCTATTTTACTTAGCACAGACTATTATGGAACATCTTAAAGCTTTCACGATAACAATTTGTTTTTACTGAATTAGAATCCATCTCTTTTGAACCCTCCCTTATATCTTTATCAGGATGGACAGATATTTACTATCACATGCTAAAAATTAACTGATTAAGGTATGGCAATTAGGATCACCCAGGGAGCTAACAGTCCATTACTTGAAGGATTCACGTCTCCAAAGAGGATGTCTGCAGCCCTGAGTCCAATGCTTAGATTGCTTAGAAAGAGATGATAAGCAGTGTATTCATGTCAATGACTGGATAGAAAACTACTTTAGGCAGGAGGGATCTGTGTTCTGGTGGAGAAGGCCATGTCCCAAAGCAGATGATTGACACAGCATATCAAAGCCTATAATATAACTGGCAAGGGGCAAGAGTCCTGGATAATTATGGGTTAGAGCTCGTAGTCATGTACTTGACTAAACAAGATCCAGGGAAATCTCACAGTACTTCAATGAAAACTACTTTCATCATAAATACAATGGAACATCTTTCTCTTAAAATACACAGTACTACACAAATATTTGTCTTTAACAGTTTTACAATAAAACACTGATAAAATGTTAGTGTGATGTAATAAAATTGAATACATAAAAATTAAGTATAGGTAAATGGGAAATCCACCAGTTTTCCTAATGGGCTTTCTCTAAGAAGTAGTGTGTTATAAAGGGCAACAATAGCTTCTGGAGACAGCTGAGCCTGGGCATACAGTCTATCTTTCTGTATTTAGCTATGTGAATTTCATGAAGTGAAATGTAATACTGTATGGAGGACTGAAGGGTAGTCCTTGTCTTTGAAGTTCAGATAACAGCTACCTTACAAGAGTGCAGTGAAGATGAAAGGTGACAATGCATGTTTGAAATTCAGCAGAGTGCTCAACTACTTAATTTTATGTTTACTTAATTGAACATTTCAGTTTTCAAAGTAAAAGAATACCTAAGTCTTGGGGCTGGTGAGATGGCTCAGTGGTCTAAAGCACCTACTTAGAACAAGCTTAGCAAAAAAGCACAGGGACCACGGTTCAATCCCCCAGCACCACATGCCAGCCAGCCCCACCCCCTGGTGGGCTGAGCTGGCCTCCCCCCA